CTTAAGTCCATTCCTGTAGCTAAGGCTCTTCCACCTTGGAACAGGTTTTGACCTTGGAGCATCTTCCTGCCACCAAGCAGGGTCCTGGTGGCACGTACCCCAGGCTGACCTCCTCGGGGCAAGCCCTCTTGGATTATGGGTAGGTCACTTCCTCCAATAGCTCCCCTGGCCAGGATACCTATGGGTTGGCCTAAACGTGCCTGAGTGTTGATGGGTAGGTCACTTCCTCCAATAGCTCCCCTGGCCAGGGTACCTATGGGTTGGCCTAAAAGTGCCTGGATGTTACTCTTACTCAGGCGCTTCTTTGAGCTTTGCTTAAGTTTTAATACTGCCTGGACAGAGGGCCTGTTCTCCATCTGCAGGGTCAGTCTTCTGTTTCTAGCACTGGCTAGCTGCTGCTGCTGCTGCATCGAAGCCTGCATATTCACTGGCATCGGCTGGTTGTTTTTCAGAATATTAGTAAAGCGCTCATTTAGAGACACCTTGGTGGTGCGTTTTAGCACAACTTTCGGCACTGATTGTGTAGCCATCTTGAAATCCTGAGAATTGAAGGAGACAGATGCCAGGCCTCCTCAAAGGGTGGCCACCACTTCTTCTGCTAACCTCAGCTTACAGGGTCCGCTGGGGCTAACAAGCCGGGCAGTTAGGTTAGATGCTTATACAGTATGCTGCAAAGGACTGTTGACTTTTTGTGAGGAACAGACCTGCCTTTAATCAGTACCAAGTGATCCTCAGTGTGCATCCCAGTGGCCAGGCATTCCCAGTTGTAAAAATCCAGAATCTCCAGCTGAACTTTTGCTTGTTCAGGAAGACTGTGGGATGGAATAGCACTATTTACTTGGACATTTTCAGGAAGCATTGTTGCCATGGAAATGTGATTTAAATTAACTACTAAGTCAAATACAAATTGAAACAGGCATGGCCATGTGAGACTCATTGACAGAGTTACTGACCAGCGTATGTTAGATACTGACATCAAGCAGCAACATTGGTGATAAAGAAGAAAAATAAAAGCCAGGTGTTGCTGGTGCATGCCTTTAATCCCAGAACTCAGGAGGCAGAGGCAGGGGGAATCCTTGTGAGTTTGAGGACAGCCTGGTCTCCAGAGTGAGTGCCAGGATAGGCTCCAAACCTACACAGGGAAACTCTGTCTCAAAAAACCAAAGAAAGAAGAAAAATATAGGAAAGGAATTGAAAATAAAATAGTACATATCTTTTGTTGTGTATATGGTCACAATCCGGCCAGGACTCAAAAACTGAGGTAAAAGAAACCATGTGGGAATTGATTTTCTCCTTCATCCTTTGAACAATGAAACTCAAATTCAGGTCCTCAGGTTTAGTGTCAATGTCTTTAAATGTGGTATCTCCCAAGCTTTAGAGCATTTGATAGATTATGTCTACAGGAAGAGGAGAGGCTGACTCCGGGTTTCTCATTTGAACTATAATTTTCAAATATGTATAGCCTGATGGAACCTCCAAATAAAAATTCTTTGAATTTTGTCTTTAAATGTGGTATCTCCCAAGCTTTAGAGCACTTGATAGATTATGTCTACAGGAAGAGGAGAGGCTGACTCCAGGTTTCTCATTTGAACTATAATTTTCACATATGTATAGCCTGATGGAACCTCCAAATAAAAATTCTTTGAATTTAATGCCCAGATCTTTGAAACCTTTGGGTACTTAGGCTCATTTAATACCTCTAAACACCTGGTTGATACATCATGTCTGTATTACCTTGGAAATGGAGACAGGAGGATCATGACTTCAAGGACAGCCCTGACTAAGCAACAGCCCATGGAAACAGACATGTAATCCCTGTTTCTTGGGAGAACTGAAAGTTCAAGGACACATTAGGCTACAGAGTGTCTTTGAGGTCAACTAAGAATATGTGACCACACCTATTCATTTACAAAAACGAGGGGAATGAGGCAAAACATTTATATAAATAGGACACCTCTTTGGATTTTTCCAATGAAAATGTCTCTGATTCAATCTCAACTTCTGAAAAGTAAAAGAAGGACAGGAAAGAAAACAGCAAATGGTTCCATTATCAAATGTAATGGCTGGAAGCAAATGAGTGCAAATGTCTGGTTTATGTCGTGATGGCCTTTCAGGATTCAACCTTGCTCTCATGAATGCAAGATAACCCTTAGAGACACAACAAGTCCAAGATTATTTTACATTTATAATTTACATTTTATTTAATGTGAGGGTTGTTTCATCACAAATAGATGAAAGTTGACAAGTTGCTGATTTTTTTCGAAATTCCTTTACCTAGTAAGCACTTTTCGGATACACAGGAAATTAATCACTGGCATTGGAGAAATAATATATTATCCTGTAATCTATCTATCTATCTATCTATCTATCTATCTATCTATCTATCGATCGATCTATGATTTCTCTGTGGTATTAGTTGGTCCTGTACTCACAGAGATCCTCCTTCCTCTGCCTCTGAAGTGTTGGGATTACAGTCTTATGCCACCACCGCATGGCAAATACTGCATATTTTAATCCCTTTACATAGGATCTATTTAAATTTACGACTCAAAAGTCAGCAGCACTGGGACCTCTTTGAGTTCCTTGCAAACATTGCACACACACCCCTCTCTCTCTCTCTCTCTCTCTCTCTCTCTCTCTCTCTCTCTCTCTCTCTTTCTCTCTCTCTCTCACTCTCTCCTCCATTCTTTCCACTCCCCTAGCTCTTAGCCATGTTGTGGTCATTCAACTTCTGGTTCTTTTCTTTTTCCTAAAAATAGGTGATTGCAAAATTAAATGCCCAAATGCATACACAAGATAATATGAATTCCATTTAAGCCAAATATTTTGACAAGAGTATGGGGCCTATAATAAACTCTGATTGTTTTCCCCAGTTGTAACAAACTGTGATTGCCAGATACTATTAGTATATGCATTTAATCCCAGCAAAGCAGGCACA